GCTGCCTAAAATGCATCCAAACATTCAGTATCTCCTCCCTCTGCATGCAGACACTGAACTTTCCTCATAGAGATTCATTGATTCAATGTATCTCTATGAGGAGATGCTGATTGGCCAGGGCTGTGTTTGAATTGTGCTGTGCCCCTGATCTGCCTCTTTGTCAGTGTAACGGCTACCTAGCTGGTAAGGGGGTATCTGCCGTTGGAGACGTCCTTTCCCTGGCAAGCTGCTGTGTAGTAATGGAGTTCTTATTCCCATCCACGAGATCCAAGGGTAGAGTCAGGCATAACTGTAAAATGGAGCAGAGTAACTGTACAATAAATCCCCTTTCAAGAATGAGACGAGGCTACGTTTTGAAGGGTCAAGCAGAACTGATGTTTATTGACAGGGGTCTCCTTTTATGCAATGCTGCCCTGGAAAGGGCTACACCTTCATAATTAACACAATATCCAATCACACACAGTACAACCCCCACGTCTCCTCCCCTCAGATAAACATTTAACATAATTATAACACAATTTTACCCAAGTTCTGGATGTACCCCAAAACCAGGGAGTACACCCTTAAATCCAGTATCCTCAGATAGCTCTTGTTCAGGGGGACAACATATCAAAAATCCAGCCCATTCGGTTAAAGCGTTCGGGAGTTATGGGTCTTTGAAGTTTTGACCGACCGCACAGACTTTTTAGCCGAAAATAGTTCCACAAGTTTTGGCCTTGCGGTTGGTCCCCGTTCGTGCATTGAAAACCTACGAAAATCTTTCCGTCCACAGCTATCTTGGCGTTCGCCGGAATCCCCATGCATGGTTTAGTCTTTCTACCGAACGGCCAGCTGTTCAGTAGTTTCAGCACGAATCTACGTTGTCACGGAGGTCTCAGCGGTATTCGACTGTTTGCGTATCCGTTTTTAGTTCCACACGATTGATGGCAAAACACAGCTGTTCGTGCGTAAGATGGCCGCGAACGCATGCAAAGTCCCGAAATGGCGGCCACCTATACTTTACACAAAGCATTCGTGCTGAACCATGCGAACGGATGCGCCGGTCTGGGAGGTAAAAATACCACTTAACTTCGCATCAGGGTGGTCCGGTGTTCGGTAGTTTGGATTTGTTTTTGGGCAATAGTAATTCCTATAAAACAGGCAAGTCGGTTCTTTTGTATATCCAGGTTATGTATTGTTAACGGAGTCCAGGCAGAAATTGTAGGCCTGTTACAGTCAGTCTCAGCCAATCCTATGGGGAAGCATTGTGATTGGATCAGGCCACCACTTCTGATGATGTCAGCAGACAGGTAAGAGGCAGACAAGTGCAGAGCCAGCAGCTGCAGACTTGAATACCAGTAGTTGACTGGCAGGGTTGAGAAAGAAAAAAAAAAAAGAGAAAAAAAAAAAAGAGGGGGCGTGGCCTTACTGTGCAGCAGTGCAGATGCACAAACCAAGAGCTCCTGGGCCTAAGACCAATTACTGGCTAAAATCGGGGGCAAACTAAATAATCCTGCTCCCCAATCCACCACAACTTGATCTGCAGACATTGGTGAACAGGGGGATACCTCACATGCCCAGAAATAACGCCGGAATGACCAAGCTGAGGCCTGGGGCCTACACTAAGCAGGGCAATGGAGAGGCGGCCGCTCTCCCAGCCCATAACCGCATGCAGCACCCGCAGCAAATGGCTACCCCCCCCCCTTAGGACCGGTGGGGGTTATCCCGGTCCAAATCACCTCGACGGGCAAGCCCCAGTGGACCCTAAAAGCGGTCACCGACCCCATCCACGCACCGAACTTGCAAGCAGCCCACCATATCAAAATGGCAGACACGCAGCCTCGTGGTCAACCTGGGCCTCCACCACTAAGCCCCAACACAAACGACTCCCTCACTACCCGCCTAGACGGGCTGTTTGAAGCCTTCTGGGCAAAGATCGCGGCCCGACATAAGGAAGAGCGATCCAAGCTGCTAGAGATCGGAGGTACGGAGGGCCAACAAGGCGACACCGTTTGGAGTGGGACCAGACTGCCTTTGGGCAAAGCCATGAAAACTCAGTCC